TCTCTCTGAAACAGTATGGAGCTCAAAGGCTTTCTCTCTTGCCGGTTATACCACAAGGTGAGTTCCTTTTTACTTCCTGCTTCTTCACACACATGCTCTCCAGTACAGGTTAGCTCTGAGTGTTAGCCATGCTAATGTAAACACCGACCATATTACGTCCAAAACAGTCGGGCATTGTTTCTGATAGCAACGTTTCTGATAGGCCCGTGGGTCCACATTTCAGATATTACGTCATATCGGACGCAAATCTGGATCAGCTCCGTTGTTCCCCGTTTTTAGAGATTTGGGTACGGAGGAAAAGAGAGAGAGTTTTATTTCCTGATGCTGCGTGAGTTCCCCGACACACCGGGGACACCCCGGGGACACACCGGGGACACGCCGGGGACACACAGGGGACACCCCGGGGACACACCGGGGACACACAGGGGACACACCGGGGACACACCGGGGACACAGCGGAGACACACCGGGGACACAGCGGGGACACATGTTGATGTAGAGAAGACATCAAAAAGTGCATTTTGCATGATAGGTCCTCTTTAAGTAACTTTTTAACAAGACATCAGACTATGCCACAGTTTCTGTCAATAATGATTCATGTTGTTCGAAGTGTATATGTCACAGATTACGTCACCGAAACACAAAACTTTTCTGACAAAATAATCATTATTGTACTTTCATACATCTTGTGTTTTTCCAGCACTGTCAATCTATCACTGCCTATATGTAGGAGTGTGTGTGTGTGTGTGTGTGTGTGTGTGTGTGTGGGTGTGTGTGTGTGTGTGTGTGTGTATGCAACCTCCGCCAACCCCCACTGCTTTTCCATACAGACGTACGGTAATAAGCCGCGGCGCAGAAATCGAACCCATTTACGAGTTCAAACGCCAAAAAACAGACGAATGATCGCTAAGATGGAGCCCCCCCCCTCTCCATTTAGCTCTCTCTCTCTCTCTATCTCTCTTCTCTCTCTCTCTCCATACAAATGACTGCTATCAATATTTCCAATCTTCATTTCTCCAGAAGCTCAGGGCCCCTTTCTGCCAGAAATCAATGGCTTCCCACTGAGATCTGCGACAAGGATCAGAAGTGAGAGCGGCTCGGCTCACTTTCTCCGGGATAAAGTCTAGTTTCTCTACAGTTTCATCATTTAGGCAGCCCGCGAGTGTGTGTGTGTGTGTGTGTGTGTGTGTGTGTGTGTGTGTGTGTGTGTGTGTGTGTGTGTGTGTGTGTGTGTACTGATGCATGTGTGCTTTGGTCCTATCAAAACAGACCAAACTACAACTCGTATCGCACTTTTTCTCTCAGTCTAATTGCCGTTGTGTTTGATGACATCATTGCACCAACAGGGATGATTTTATGGATGTGTGTGTGTGTGTGTGTGTGTGTGTGTGTGTGTGTGTGTGTGTGTGTGTGTGTGTGTGTGTGTGTGTGTGTGTGTGTGTGTGGTTTTGGTAACTTAAGTTGTCTAAACATCTTAAAACATGAAAGGGAGCTAAACCCTTAATTTATGACTGATTTAATGATATTATATCGACTTCAATTTGAGTTTTTAACAGATATAATCTTATATTCAACCACAAGATCACTTATTTTGACACTGATTATCTCTAAAAGTTCAAAATATAAGGTCATTTTTACATGTTTTAACCGTGGATGTGAGCTAATTAGATTTAATCAACGCGTGCTTGCCTCTTTATTTAATATGATAGCTCAATTAGTGTATGTTGTGTCTGATTCTGATATATTTCATTTCAGTCGAATGAATGATTTAAGTAGGTTTTCTTAATCAATCAAATCACATCCACCAGGTCTATGTGCGTCTTCCTGAATGTTTGCAACTTTGTGATTGTCTATCTCAAACTTTATATTGTCATGCATTCATTTACTTATGCGTCTGTCTGTCACTCAATGTTCTGTGTGTGTTTGTGAGTGTGTGTGTGTGTGTGGGGAACTTATACATACATAAGTTAATGCACTTCTGTCTGCATTGCTTTATGTGTGTGTACAATTAAACGGCTGTGTGTGTGTGTGTGTGTGTGTGTGTGTGTGTGTTCTGGTTGTCAGTCACACGGCAGGGCTAGGCTAATCAGCGCAGCTAGCTGTTCGCTGTGTGATCGGCTGATTAATATCCTGTTAGCGTCCCGCGGCTTTTAAGGCTAACTGCTGTTTCCTCTATAGATCCATCGCTTCATAACAGCGCTGCCTTCATCTGGCCTCATTAAGACGATGTATTACTATACTGAGCAACTACACACACACACACACACACACACACACACACACACACACACACACACACACACACACACACACACACACACACACACACACACACACACACACACACACACACACACACACACACACACACACACACACACACACTGTTTTTTTAAAGCTAAATGCTGATTGGATAAAGCTTTGTCACAGATTTGATAGCAAAAGTTAGTGAGAAGAAGTTATGTGACACTGTGACTAAACACCTGCTTGTGGTTGTCATTTACGTATGACGGTCTGTAAAGTATGTGATGAGGCCCCGCTTCGAGAGCGTCGACGGACGGACGGACAGGTGTTAGTCGAGCCTCGCAGCGATGTAACCGTTCAGCGCCACACTAATTGCGCCACATAAGCGCATAGGTAGGCCGCATTTTCGGCTCAGTCGAGGCCCCCTCCGCGAGATGAGGCCCCCTCCGCAAGGTGAGGCCCCCTCAGCGAGATGACGCCCCCTCCGCAAGGTGAGGCCCCCTCTGCAAGGTGAGGCCCCCTCAGCGAGGTGAGGCCCCCTCAGCAAGGTGAGGCCCCAGGCAGTCTGCATGATCAGCCTGTAGGGAGGGACGACCCTGACTTAATGTCAGATCTAATACCAGTGAAAATATGATGTTTTATGATATGAAGTATGACCAAACCTACGCAGCTTCAGATGAATGCAAAGGCTGAGGATTTACAACTTGAAGTAGTTGAAGGGGAAGATAAAGGAAACTGAAAATGATCAAAACCAGGAGAAAAATCGCGTGGTTGAAGTCTTGTTTGTATCCTAAACGTAAACTCTGGGAAGGACACTAGTTGCTAAGTTTCCACTGAACAGAGGTGGGAAGCACCAGAAACATGTTTCTGGTATCTTTACTCCACTACTTTTTACTTTGACTTCTTACATGTTGAACTCAAATACCTGTACTTTCTACTTCTTACATGTTGAACCCAAATACCTGTACTTTCTACTTCTTACATGTTGAACACAAATACCTGTACTTTCTACTTCTTACATGTTGAACCCAAATACCTGTACTTTCTACTTCTTACATGTTGAACACAAATACCTGTACTTTCTACTTCTTACATGTTGAACCCAAATACCTGTACTTTCTACTTCTTACATGTTGAACACAAATACCTGTACTTTCTACTTAGTGCTGTGATGTCATAGTGTTACACACGTTTGTTTCTCCAACAGCTCAGATTTCATCATGAATCCTGCTGTGATGACCTGTACAACTCCTGCAGGAATCTGAGAGGCAGAATAACACACAGCAAGACCAGAAGTCCCAGCAGCTGGGAAGCACTAAAACAAACCCCTCACTGTTGAGCAGCTGGTAGAATTTGCAAGGTGTCAATCAGACAGGGCGTGTTCAGGGAGGTGAGAAGCAGGAGGAGCGCTCACTAAGCCTGGAAACCCAGACACCAACTGTAAGAGGAGTTTTATGAGTAATTGGAGCTTCAGATGGAAATGGGAGGACAGCTATGTATTCAATGACTTTTCAGAGTTTTAAGAGCCTCAAGACTCACCCTTTTAAATGTGGCTTGTAATTTAATTGTATTTATTATAGTTGTATTATTTTTTTCATTCTTATTTTAATCTGTAATTTTTTTTATTCTAATTTTAAATTGTAATGTATTTGTATTTTTTTAAATGTTTTATTCAGTCCTGTGTTTTGTTTTAAGTGTGTTTCACAAGTGTATGTTTTACTTGGTATTGATTTCCTTATATTATTGCTATTATTATAATTATAATTATTTTATTATTGTATTTGTCTTATTGTAATTGTGTTGTACTTTGTATGTGTTTATCTTATCTTATTTAATTTATATTTAATTTATTTGTAATTATTGTTTTAGTGCTTGAGTCCTGTGTTTATTGACTGGTTTTAAGTGTCTTCACCAATAAATGTTGGTTTTAAGTGTTTTATTCATCACAAAGTTATGTGTTACTTGGTATTTATTACCTGTTAATATAATTATGTTAATATTCAATGTATTTTAAATATTATGTTTTTGCTTCAAATGGATGCATCTTCTCAAATAGACCATCTCTGTCCCAGTGGGTCACGTGAGGTTCCATGACGTCATGACGCACGGCGCTCCGGTGTAAAATGAATTTGAGGCGGAATGATTCTCGGCTGTGAGAAGACATCCCTGACCTGAACCTGATCACGACCTCTTAAACCGCCGCTCACTGACTGGAGCTCAGGTCAGTAACTTCACACACCAACACATTTAAATAGTTACTGTTGTTGTTTTTAGAAAAAGAGCAGAATGTCATGTTAAATTCACTTTGGTTGGCTCTGGTTTCAGACTGGTGTCCACGTTGAAAAGTTGTTTACAAAGGTGTCCATTCATTCATAAGGAAACGTCGGAAACAACCGGCGATTTATAAATATATTTGACAAAGTAACTACTATAACAGCCGTGTTTTAACTAGTTAGTAAACACTTAATAACATCTCTGACTTTTGCATATACGCTTCCCTAATACAGCTGCATTTAAATACCCTGTATACTCAGTAATCCCATGAACACCACTACACACTACCAGTCGTAACGTCACTGTAATCCTATTAACGTTATTATTTTGAGAAAGTGCCACGTGTCTTCTCAGCAGGGGTTCCTGTTTTCAGAGGTGAAGAAGTACTCTCATCTTGTACTTGAGTAAAACTAGAAGTACTCAGATCTTGCACTTGAGTAAAAGTAGAAGTACTCAGGTCTTGTACTTGAGTAAAAGTAGAAGTACTCAGATCTTGTACTTGAGTAAAAGTAGAAGTACTCAGATTTACTTGAGTAAAAGTAAAAGTACTCTCTTCTTGTTCTTGAGTAAAAGTAGAAGTACTTAGGTCTTGTTCTTGAGTAAAAGTAGAAGTACTCAGTTCATGTACTTGAGTAAAAGTAGAAGTACTCAGGTCTTGTTCTTGAGTAAAAGTAGAAGTACTCAGGTCTTGTTCTTGAGTAAAAGTAGAAGTACTCTCATCTTGAACTTGAGTAAAAGTAGAAGTACTGAGGTCTTGTATTTGAGTAAAAGTAGAAGTACTCAGATCATGTACTTGAGTAAAAGTAGAAGTACTCAGATCTTGTACTTGAGTAAAAGTTGAAGTACTCAGATCTTGTACTTGAGTAAAAGTAGAAGTACTCTCTTCTTGTTCTTGAGTAAAAGTAGAAGTACTCAGTTCATGTACTTGAGTAAAAGTAGAAGTACTCAGATCTTGTACTTGAGTAAAAGTAGAAGTACTCAGATCTTGTACTCGAGTAAAAGTGGTTTAATGAAACAGAGAAGTAGTACTGCACATTTGAGGAACTTTACTTGAGTATTTAATTTTAAATTCCCCTTTTTACTTCTACCCAGCTACTCCACTACAAAGCTTACTAGGTAATAATTCAGATTTTTCCATTAAAAAGTATGATTTGTTTGTTAATTAAGTCAGCTCTTTATTCAAGAACAGGACGATTAATCAATTAACAGATTGAAAGATAATTAATTGGCACTTTTTTGTACACATTTTAGTTTTTATTTATTTAGAACAGGGGTGTCAAACTCAATTTCATCATGGGCCACATTAGCATTATGGTTGCACTCAAAGGGTATATATGTAAGTATATATATATATATATATATATATATATATACATATATAAATACATAATATATATGAAATAATGTATTATATTATATTATTGCCTCTGCATTGGATTATTATTGGATAGTAATAACTTCATAATTAACTACGTCTGAAAGCAGAAGTCNGACAAAAATATGGTTCAAGAATGATTCAGAAGTGGGAAAATTAATAAATGCAACCTCTGGGTTAAAAATAACCCAGGCAGGTGTTCAACTGCAATTGAAGCCCTAATAACCCCTTTTGACCCAGCATGAACAACCCACCAGTGTGTTTACAGTACCCAAATAACCCATAATTATGACCCAGCCAAATCAACCCAGCAATGTGTTTATTGAAATAACCCAGCATTTTTTAGAGTGTATATATACATATATAAATACATAATATATATGAGATAATGTATTATATTATATTATTGCCTTTGCATTGGATTTTTATTGGATAGG